AACGGTAAAATATTAATTCACAGCTCCTACTGCTGAGTATCTGTGGTTCCTATTAACTCTTTTTGGGTGCAAGAATGCTAACAAACAGGATGCACAAACAATCTGCAATGAACTGGCTAGAGCGGACAGGTTTAGGAAGTATGCCTTAGCTACCAATAAGGAATGAAGAAGTCATCATCTGTCCTTTAGGTGTCCTCTCTGCCTACTCCTCTTTGTGGAATCTGGGTATCTTGCCAATCCACTTAAAGACAGGCAAAGGCAAGCAGCAGCAAGCCAAAAGTAAGGATAGCTGAACAAGAACAGAAGCTGCAAAAGCTGACGAGATCAGCTATTAGTAGAGACTGCTCACTAAACACTGCCATGTGACCAGGTATATAGCCTAGCACACCTATGTATTTACTGTGCCTTACATTGCTGATTTGAAAAAGGAATCGGCCATTTGGCAAGTCATTACCTTTACAGGTGCCAAAGCAAGTACCTTAAAGGCAACCCAGCAGCACTGAGTATTGGTCTACTTAAAGTGACAAGCTAATTCCCAGCACCAGTGACAGGAGGACCTCTTGGCTTTGATATCCATTCATAGGCACTTAAGACTTGTGCTTGTATATCAAACTTATTTTTGTAAAACATTAAAGCATGCCACTGTCTCCTAGTAAAGAAACTACATGATACTAAGTTCTGTACCCTTCTGCCCAGTGCAATAACAATTTTAAAATACATACCTTACTCAACTGTGTTAAGCGCTTTAAGGAGAACTGCTTTTTTGATACTCGAAAGAAAACTCACCTTCACAGTTCAGGCACCTTTTTACTGAATTACTTAGTATTTATTTAAATTGAGTATTACAGAGCTCTACACAAAACTAGTAGACATCAGACTTGGCAACACCTTCATAAAAGCTTGAGAATGCAGTTCAGTACAAGTCATTCACCCTAAGAAAACTGCCATGAAGTAGCTCATACCAAGCTTCTGCGGCTAGCTTAAAATGAAATGCCAAATACTGCCTGTTTTACAAAGAGACACAGAAGAAAGACAGTTTCTAATAATAAGTTTATTTAGCTTGCTTTTTTAAATATAACTAGTGATTTTCATGCATATTTTAGAGATCTGCAAGTGTTACATACTTTCAAGTAATACATGCATTGTTCAACAAATATGAATGAGATTTACTGAGCACACAACAGTGCTTACGATCCTCAACCACCAGTAGTACTGAAAGTGCAAGCACACTATAAACATGGTCAAGGAGAATCTAAGATGTTTAAACTTGAAGAGGACTGTTTTCAGCATAACACTGAGCAGACAAGATACTTAAGCCAACAAGAACTAGCTTTTTAAGCTCAGGTAGGAATGTGAAATCTTACTGAAACTAACCAAAGCCCGTAAGCATTTTACTATTTTAGACAACCAAGCTTAAGTCCATTGTTTTATACACATGATAAAGCATATTTATGTTTTAGCATATACTTTAATACTACTGTTACTGATGAATAACAGAGACTAGTTATTATCTTTCCCTATGCCCTTAAGTTATTATATAGTAGACATATGCAAAGTGTTGCAAACATCAGATTTGCTTAAAACAGTACTGGAACAAAATACGCTATGATGCTGCCCAAAACTCTCTAATCCTCCAACCATAACTTACAGGCTTCTAGTTATTACAATGAACTCAAATTTTATTATTTTCCCTCTTTACAGCTGAAAAGCATTTTTAGACTCATTTAAAAGTTTAACTAAAGATTCAGATCTATGCCCAAGTTGAATTTTGACTCCAGAGTTTCATGCTGAAAGCACACAATTCTGTTTCAAAAAAAGCACCTCGGCAAGTGCAATTTTGTTTAAAGATACGTTCTATTTGGTACTTAAGTATATTTTCATATAGTAGCAGAATAGTAAAAATACCATTCTTAGTGATTTGAAGCAAGAGAAAGCATTTTACAGCTGCCACAATGTAAGGTACAACAAAATCTTGATTTCCCCCCTCTTGTGCTGTAAGTTATCATTTTATCTTCTTTTAAGCTCTAAGAACTAGTTCCTGGCAATTACTTCTGCTAACTCACTACACTAAAATTTCAAAGCTGACATGATACAAAGACAATTTAGTATCTTGTGGGAGCTAGCATATCCCTTATTTCAATTACCAAGATGCTCTACTGCAAGTCAGATCCTTGAAAAGTCAGAAACATTTTAAAGTCTGACAGCTCTGCTGATTAGAAATTCTTTGTTTTCCACATTTCATAAATGTCCTCCTTTGTTTACTGTGTTTTTCCAAACCGCAGTTGACAGTCATATAGAAAGTGACCATTACATGTTTTAAGAAGTACACAAAGTTCTTCCTGAAACAGAGGTAAAAGTTATACCACTGAATACATAAATAAGGCTTATAAGTACAGCTATAGGTATCAGTAATACAAAAGAAAAAAAAGCTGCACATGAAGCACACTAATCTCTCACACTAATCTTACTGGTTTAATTGGGAAAAAACCTCCAATTTCTCTATTTACTTCGTGCGTGAAGTTCTTCTCATTGAAAGATTACCTGCTATACTACTTATAGAATCATTCAATAGTTTGGGTTGGAAAGGACCTTAAGATCATCTAGTTCCAACCCCCCTGCCATGGGTAGGGACACCTTACGCTAAATCATATCCCTCAAGGCCTCGTCCAACCTGGTCTTGAACACTGCCAGGGATGGAGCATTCACAACCTCCCTGAGCAACCCATTCCAGTGCCTCACCACCCTAACAGGAAAGAACTTCCTCCTTATATCCAATCTAAACTTCCCCTGTTTAAGTTTTAACTTGGGTCCCCTGTTCAAGACACCCACATCCCTGACTATGACACCACCCTTTTAACCATTTATTAACCTGGCCAATCCTCCTAGCTTTTTTTACGTCCTCCCCTGTACCCTGGAGAATTGATGAAAAGACCACCTGAGCTCCAGAGCCCCTAACCACCTCCCCCAGGGCTCTGTAGTCCTTCTTTATGTTCCCCAGGCTACTACTGTCTATATCCCTAGCACCCACATGTATCACCAGGAGTGGGTAATAGTCTGTGGGACTTCCTAGAGCAGGCAGCCTCTCTGCCACATCCCTGATCCATGCCCCCGGTAGGCAACACACCTCCCTTGAGACTGGGTCTGGCCGGCAGACAAGTGCTTCTGTCCCTTTCAGTGTAGAGTCCCCTACTACTACGACCCGCCGCTTTTTCCTAGCAGCCCCAGTAGAGATCTTTTTACCAGGGCATCAGCCTGGCTGTTTCTGGCTCGAGTGCGTTTCCTCATTAGCCCCCTGCAGGACAGCAAAGCAGTTCTGCGTGGGGACAGGGGGTTTAGGGGGAAACCCCTTGCTTTTAATTGTCCTTTTCCTCTTTTTTTGTTGTTGTTTTTGTTTTTGTTTTTTGTCACTAATTCCCAGCTTCCCAAGTTAACGGCCTCCTTCTTTCCTTCATGAGGTAGAGGTGAAGCTCGAGGCCCCTGCACAGTTTGGGCCAGGAGCAAGCATTCCTGCTTCCTCTCAGCTTCCCTGACATCTCGCAGCCTACTGACAGCATCCGGCAGCTCAGCCCCTGCTGCAGGAGCACCTCCACCAGGGAGCACCGAGTGCAGCCCTGCCCATTGCGCACCCTCCCCTCACCAGACCAGTGCAGGCACTCTCTACACCCCGAGCTCTGCACTGCAGCCTCCCCTCTCACCGGCTCTGTCTGGGTGCCTACGCCGGCCACCGCCGGGGCAGCCAGAGCAGAGCTCCCGGACCGGGCCCTGCTCACACGCCGAGTGCTCACCATCCCGCTAGCGGGCCCGCGCAAACCGCCTCGACCCGCTCTGTTCGCCGCGCTCCCTGGGGCAGGTTTTTACCCAGTCAGGGCTGGTGCCGCTGCTCCTGCCTCCTCCCCCTGTGAGTCCCTGCTCGCTCTGTCAGCTGAGCTGCCGGCTCCTGGGCAGGTCCCGTCGAGGACTTGAGGCTCCCTCGGTGGCTCTTGGTGCTCTGAGTTGAGGCTCCTGAACGCTGATCTCCCCCCCCCCCCCCCCCCCCCCCCCGACTACTTACCTATCATCATGCACTTGTTCCTCTGCTAACAGCCATGCAAAAATACAAACTGTCCTGGCACCCTTGAACAGCTATTGTGCATGACTTGGAGCAGGACCTGGTCCTCCACCAAATAAATATGCAAGACTTGTGTGGCTGCTAAGGAATACCATGCCTGCTACTGAGAGATCCACAGGGGGGACACACACTAGAGGTGCCAATGAGCACAGGGGACAGTAAGCAAAACCTACACATACATATTTAAAACACACACACACGGAGAAAAGATCTAAGAGATTATATAGATCTTCTGGAAAAAGAATGGCAAGGAGCTTCTCTAAAGCTAGGATTCCAGGGAGCTTAAGCTACTCTAATAGCAGAAATTACTCTGAACATACTTTAACATTTCAAATAGCATTCAAACACTGATGTAACAGTGATAAAACTCCAATGTCTCGGACACTTCATTTTGTTTCACCATTATCTTGCTATGATTGAACTGGCACATATGTATTTAAGGTAATAAAATGCCTAATAATGAGAATGAGTAAAGCGATTCTCTGACCAGTCCAACATATTTTTATATGGGTAAAAACTGGATGTATTTGCTTTCATTTGAACTGTTTTCCTTGCTATTTCACATGAAATTTTGAAGGCAAATTTCAAATTCTCTTCATTGGGAGGCACAGACATTTTAGAAACAAATAGAAGCCAATCAAAACTGAGTATCATCCACATTTTTGAAAAAAAAAGGGCAGAAATTAATATAGAAGAATGCATAAGTTATTGAGTACATTAATAAAGCAAGTTTCCACAAAGTGGAAAAAAAATCCCAGTGTCTAGACGGGGTTCAAAATTCATTAAAGAAATTTATTCTAAAAGCACAATAATGCAGTAGCAATACCAAAGTCATCATCCCAAGTCAAGAAACAGGCCTTACAACCAAGTATACAAGGTTAGCCAGACTCACCTTCCCTCGCTGATTTTTGCTTTATCTCCTTGACATGAGAAATTCTCAATGTAACCTAAACTGCAGTTGATCCGTGTCCAGTCGGGCTGGCACACAGCAAGGAAGTGAGGACGCAGTCTGCCTATGGAGTACTTGGCAATGTCTGTCAATGACTGGCTAGCAGCTGCTCCAAAAATGAAGGTCCCAATGGCTTTGTAAATAGTGGCTATGTAGTTATTTCTGACAAATGAGTTTGAGTGCAAATGATTACAAAATACAGAGAGTGTCTCTCCTAGGATTATCTGAAAGAGAAATAAGGATGACAGTTAAAATATAGATAATAGCTTAAAAATAAAGATATTACTGTTATTAATATGCACACATGTTTCAGAAATTAATTTAATAAACATTAAGCTGCAAATTTACATTTTCCAAGAGTCAGCAATAATCATGCCCAAACTTTAAACATTTATGTAGAATGTAAAAAAGCTTTCACCTTGTCCTTCTTTATGTTGAACTTAATGACATTGATTTTCTGAATACTTGTGAAAACAAAGCCTTCTCAGAGTAATGTTTATGCTAATTAGGATAAATTAGACATGCCCTAATTAGAAATACTGTGCCCAGTATAACATTTTATTCTGCATTTATTCAGCTAAACTTATGCTGAGCAAAATTTTTGTATTTCATCATAAAGTTATTAGGGTTTCTGTGATGCCAGAGACTCCTCTGAAGGGTCTTCATTTCCAGATGTGGAAGGCCAGTTATTTTAACAAAGAAAATTCCTGTCCCTCAGGAAAATTAAATCCTACCAGGAGAAAAGCAATGAGATTAGGGAAAGACGGGCATTATTGAGGTCTTTCCAAGGATTTTTCACCCTGCATGTCCAAGATACATGCATCAAGCACTGACAGGAATGCAGATTTAATTTTATTTTCCTGCAACTCTGCCTTTTGCAGAAACTAAGTTCTTCCTCAAGCAAAGTACAAAATGTCACCCCAGACAGATTGAACACTGAACCAGATGGTCCCATGTGGTACAGAAAGGCTCAACTCATATGGATGATCAGATGGGTGGGGGACTGTATGCATGTGTGTGAAGTGACTTTTAAAGATGCTGTGCAGATTAAATGATGGCTCCATCAGCCACTTAAGTGTGACAACTCAGGGATCCCAGCAAAGCAGAGCTTTGATGAATTAAGCTGTTACTAGACACTCTTGACACCTGGGCAGACAAATTAAAGGCAAACAGACAGTCCCATCAGATGCATGACACTTCAGTTTTACACCCTTCACCATACCAAAACATCAGTAAAGTAGATGTGGGTAAGCTCTTATAGAAAATACACCTCTTAATGAAGACAGCTGAACAGAAATACCAGTCATGACTCATAAATAATGAAGCTCTTTTCAAGAACACCGCTACAAAACCTTAAAGGTCACTTATCTCAGGTGAGATGACTAAAATTTAAGTGATCTCAATGCAGCTACTTCACTGGACACAGAGTATTTATCTTCTATAATCTGACTGAGCACTGAGTAAAGGATATCAACATTTACTTTTACCATCTGACTTTAAAGCAACCTTGACAGAAAACCCTGATTTCACAACTGAAAGGTGGCAACTTTGTTAGCTAAATGTACATGTAGGCTCACATGGAGACTGGATAAATGCAAAGGAAATACACCCGCTGAAAGTTAGTTAATTCACATTAAGCCTTTTCTGACTCGGGAAGTCCCCGAGCTGCAAATGGCTGGTAACAAAATACTGAGGGCAAAACAACAATCTTCACTTGCTCTTATGTTCTTCCTCAATCATCTGTTTTAACTGCTGCTAGAAATGAGGTAACAAGCTAGATGGACTTCCGCTGTGACCAAGTACTGCTGCGCTTAGGTGGTACTGACTACTAACGACAGTAGCAGCTTTAAAAAAAATCACTCATATGTTAAAAAGCAGGGTCTTCCAGTATAAATGATTTGTCTGACAAAACAGAAAAAAAGCTTTAATCTGCTCCAGAAGCGTTTCCATAGGCTTTTGAAGCAGTTTTTCCTAAGAAAAGGAAAACTAGGTAGAGTTACAGCCCCACATTTCTAGAGTTACAAAAAGAAAAATTCCACCCAGGAACAAATACAAGCTACAAGCTACCCTTTATGTTGAAACCTAGATAAAAAATTCCATGCAATCCTTACACAAGAAACAGCTAGACTGCAATAATTTTAACGTGATTTTAACCCATTATCCCAGAGAAAAGCTGGTCAATACTAAGGTTTACACTTAGCTGCTCTTTTTCCAGCTTTGGTTCCTAAAATATACCTGGATAAATATTTACACACCTAAAAATCTTATTTGGCATAAAAGTTTAAACTCTGCTCAAAGTGTAGCTCTGATGAGCTTGGATGTCACCCAACACAGAGCTCTGAGTGGAATCTGGAGCTTTTCAGTACACCCGGACAGTGATATTGAAGATACTATTGAAGGGCCACTGTTAGAACTAAAACGCAGTCCCATGAGACTTAGGACACAAAGTGGTTAACTGGTGACACCCAGCTCTCCCCGCTGCCCATGCCCACCACCACTTTTTGCCCCAGCACTGATGTTGTATACTTTCAGGAGCTATTTTGCTCAACCTAGCTCAAAGGAGCTCAAGGAATTTCAGACAAGCCACCACAGGTGGCAAAGACAGTGGGACCACACCTTTTCTCCATAGTAAGCTATTAAGGTGGCTCAGCTGATATCATGTAAGCACATCTTAAGGATACAGAGTCACTATACACATGAGCCAGTTCAACTGAGCAAGGAGCTGTGGTCAATGAGGGAGATCCCAAAGTGGCTGTTGGCGAGCCAGTCTCTCCAGCTCACTGATCTGGGTGTGAAGGGGAGGGAACAACAGTGCCCCATTTCCAGCCAGGTTAGGTGCAGTATGAAAGTGAGTCCCAGCATCAATTCAAACACAAGTGGACCCAGTGTTTTATCATGACCTTCAACTGAAAAGCTCCCTGGGTAACTTATTCTTTTTATTCTGGTTATGCTTTTGGTAAATTCTGGCAGGAACCCATAATATTTTTCTGTGAAAGAACTTAGTATCTGTTGTTACACTTTCACACAGAAGTATTTCCAGTGACTCTGAGAAACAGAAAAATGCTAACTTAATACTATAATTCAAGCTCATTCTGCAAGTAGTAGCTCCCAAAATAGAAAAAGCTTGAGACAGTAATTTAAAATACATTAGTGCTAGTCTTAACTGATATGCTAAGGGAGGAAAAGTTTTTACCTCTCAGACTACAGCATTAAGTCACCCAAGTTCTAAGGTATTCTTTTTTTTGTGCTATAATTGTAGTTGTTTGACCTCAACTGAAAAAAAACTTTTAGTTATTCTTGTCAGAACACCGTTTCTACTGCTTCAGCAGCTTGTCTGAGGGCATTATTTTAAAGTCAAGAAATCCTATAGAATACAGTTTTAGAAGTCTGTATTAAGAGATTGCCCCTCCTCCCTCTTCCCAAACCCCACTGAAATCAAAGGCAATGAAGAAAAATTTAACTTACAACAATTATACTGAAAGGAATAAGTATTCCTGCTAACAATTTATAAGAAATGGTGTCCTCTTTGTATGGATACCGGATGGATTCATCACTACAGAAAACTCCTCTCTGGAAGGGTATACGTCTTGAACTGAGAATTGCAAAAGGCAAGCCAGCTAGCAAAAAGGAATAAAAAAATACATTACAAAAGCAACACAAACTCTAGCAATGATTATACCCCCACATTTCCAAAGAGAAGTGCATCAAGAGCAATGGGCATGCAGCAAGTTAGGAGGTTATGCACTTCCTTTGGCCAATGACTATTGCCTTGTCTTTGTAGCTCCCAGGAAGGATCACTGAATGAAGGAGAGCAGGACAGGGTTCCTCTACCTTGGCATTTGTGGCACATAAAGCATGGAAGCATGCGAAAACCATGACTGAGTAAACAGTTCAGTGACAATCCCCAGCTTGCTCAATCTGCTGCTACTGCCACATTATATTCCCATGAGGAGCAGTTGCCCCTTTATACCTTCTCTGGACAACTTTACAATCAGAAGAGCATAAATCTCATTTTATAAAAGCAGAAAGGGGGTGCTTCTCAGGGAGTGCAAGTGCAGAGGGAGTTTTCAGGAAGATACAGAAAAAAGGAAAGAGTTGCACATGCCTTCAGTCCCCTTGCTTTGCATACACTGGATAGCTCCCCAGAGCAACCTGGTCACTGCACAAGCCCTACAACCTCTGGACACGGAGATTTTATTCCCCTCTCTTCCTCAAAACAGGAAGCCTTTGGCTTATCCTACACACCTAAGATGAAGGCACACAATACTTTGTGCTATTGCACTTCAAAAGACCTGCAACACTAACCAAAACAATCATTTGTATACCCAGCTTAAAATAGCACTAAAGACTAACAGAATCACAATTTAAACCTCTGATCCTCTATCCTTGACACATGTACAACATCTGCACAATCTGTTTTCTGATGTGAAATTCAACTATTTCTAATGAGAAATTCAACTATTTCTGATGCGAAATTCAACTATTTCTGATGAGTACCCTCAGAAAGAAATATCTATGTGGGGGACTAACAGGAATGTTCAACAAAACAGCCCCCTTTAACTTAGGGATATCCAGCTCACTGACATTGAAGTGCTTTAAAGCCCTTGATTTTGTGCTCAAAATTCAGCAGTACTGCACATAAAATGCAAACCCATTTGGAGACACACAATCATACAGGGGAAGACACTCAATCTACCACTATGGCATCAGAAGGATGAAAACCAGCCACATTCTTTCCTGCCAGAGAAAAATGTTGCTGCAGTCACAGTTCTCTTCTCAGGACCTTGGTGTCAGGGTCTAGCCCACCTCTTCCTTTCCATGTATATAGCTAGCCCCAGATAAGTGTGTACAAACAAAAATAAACATAGAAAGGACAGGAGAAAAGAAAGGCAGGTAAAAAATAGAAAAGATACCAAGCAAGCAGTAAGAGAAGCATTATGGAAGAGAAGAGAAACACTAAGTTATGCAGTCAGGATTTAAGAGAACTAAAAAAAAAAAAACAAACCAAAAACAAACCGGAAAAGACCAGGGGTCCTTTTAACCATCTTCTCCCTTTAACATATACCCATGAAATCCTCCAAACTAATCCTGACTCCAGGGCCCATCACAAATGAGACATACTCTGGTTTCACCAATGACTGGTCTTTTAATTCACACCATATTTAATTCAAACACTACTGATTTTTTAATTCACACCATAAAGTGACTTCTTAAAAGAATACTT